AACTCCGCCTGACTGGCCACTTGACTGAGAGACAGTCGGACTGACTGACTGACTGTCTGATTAACTAATAAAATTCATGACTGTCTGAAAAACAAAGACGGACAGACTGACTGACTTACTGTCAGACGGACTGACTGTCAGACTGACTGACAGACTGAGTGACGTACTGACTGACGGACTGACTAACAGACCGTAAGACTGACTGACTGATTGTTTGAATGCCTGACTGACAGGCCGTCAGGCTGACTGTCTAACCGACCGACTGACTGACTAACTGGCTGACTGACAGACTGACCAATCCCTCTGAGGAAGGGCTAACGCTCGAAACGTCAGCCATAAAACTCTTTACGGTGGCCTATTTACGTTTTCAACTCAGTTGATTATACCAAATTAACCAATTGTCTTACCGATTGACTTATCAATCAACTTACCGATAAACAAATATCAAGGTTTTGTTTCCTTCTGTTTTAAATCAGAGCAAAAGCAGGATTCTGAACAGGACAAGGAAGGACAACAGGCAGCTTCCACAGAACAACCATCAACTTCCTTTGAGGCTGAAGAAGAAAAAGAGGCCGTTGAATTTGAAACCAAAAGTAGTGACAGAGATGATCGAACTACCTCGGACCGACCATCAACTCCTTTGAAGGAAACCAGCGAAGAAGCTATTGAACACGAAGACAACAAGGGAGAAGAAGAAGAGAAAGAAGAAGAAAAAGAAGAACAAGAAGAGGAAAAGGAAGAAGAAGAAGAAGAAGAAAAGGAAGAAAAAGAAGAAGAGGAAAGTAAGATCGCTCCAGATGAACCATCTGCTCTCTCTAAAGAAACATTTGAAGAAGCCAAAGAATACCAAGACACAATGGGTGAGGATGATGAGAGCAAGAACGTCCCAGCTAAACCAGAGCAGTAAAACTACTTGATATGACACAGGCAGTGACTTCACTAAAATATAATTATAAACGTTTTATGTAGCACTTAGATTTGTAGTTTCGAGCTGGAATAAGCAGATAGCGAGAAAAGACAGCAAAACTAAACAGAAAAAAAAGTTCAGTTACTCCACGAGATCGTAAAGACTACGGTGAACTAGTTCGGTAAAATTGGAAAAAAAAAAGTCACTCGCTGAATACAAAGATACCTAGACACGTATTTATCTCTTGTTTTACTCAGAAGTTACGATAGCATTTAGCATTTGCAACATGTATACACAATATGTTGGTAGGAGACGGTTGAGGTCCTTTTTCTTGCATGTTTCTGAGTTTCATTATACTGGTCTATTTTAATCTTCTCTCTCGTCAAATAAAATTTCATGTATTGCTTTTGCTTACAATGAAAAAAAGATCAGGTTTTAGAACAATTTTGTAGCACCGATTAGAAGCCGTCTCTGGAAAAGTAACATACATTCCTGAAACAAGGTGAAAACGTTTGTGACAAACAAACAGCAGAGAGGCTTAAAGATGTACGGACAATGAAATTGTAATCGTGAGTTAAGTAAGCAACGCTGTTAAACCACATGATTATCAATAAAAACGTCGAGAGAGTTTAAGTTACTTTGCCTTCTAGAAATGACTTGTTACTTTGCGAATAGTGATAAAGACAACACACTACCATCTGATTTGCAATGAGGTAGAAGCAGAAGTAAGGAGTTTATTTGTGGACCGTCTGTCGGAACAAAAGGGGTGGCCACCGTAAAGAGTAAAAAAGCTGACGTTTCGAGCGTTAGCCCTTCGCCATCGCTCTGGCGAAAGACTAACGCTCGAAATGTCAGTTTTTTTACTCTTTACGGTGGCCAATTTACGTTTTCAACTCAGTTGTTAACACTAAATTACCTGCTACACTCTCCCACCGACGCAGCACCACAGTTTCTTTAAAAACGTACCCCTTTATTCTATGTAAAACACTGGCTTTTGGTGAAGATTTTCGAACTTTGCCTTACGTTTACTACAAGACATTATTCAAAATATGTGACGGTGGTATTATCAGATTTAACTACCTATACCGATATCAGCTACAAGTCGTTGACTACGAGATAATTTCTGTCAAAACACGACATTCTACAACATTTCACAACATTTCATCCTGGCTGCGCGAATTTTCCCTAGGGACTGGAGAGACAGAATCTTGTTGATCTGCTGACCGTAAGGCTTCGCGGGCAAGAAAGTTCTCTCTCTTGACTTGATTGTCAACTTCCTTCGGAACATCGGGGATAATCCAAGCCAAGATTGCCGTCATACCGAACACGATGTGCTGCGCAAAATAACAAAATAAATAAGACGATCAGCCAAACACAAGAAGAAATATTAGATGGTAGGTAAGTTTCTTCAACTGAACCGTTTTTTTTTTGGTTGGTCAATTTTAAATGTTTCACAGAACTGCTACTAGGATCAACTAGGAAACAGAGAGGAACACAGATAGGGTGGAATCTTCTTTTTACAACATTACTGCAACAATTCTATTTGTAGGAAAATACTCCGATTCTCAGTATCCCATCAGGTGCATCATAACGAGCGTCCCACAATTAAAAGTGGACACAAACTCACCAGAAAGGCAACCACAAAAAACAGCTTAGCCGCCAAAATATGCCAATAGGCTGTCGAGAACTTGTAAGCATTCGGATTTGGAAGGGTCGTGTTGAGTATTGTAATTTTTGGTCGTTCATAATACCCTCGGAATCTAAAATGCAAGCACACAAGACCTTTAAAACTTGAGTTATAATGGATGACTTATGATTCTTACAATAGTGTCACCAAGCGTCCAGCAAGCTTTGACAAATTAATGAATCAGTACACTAATCAGTAAAGGCGATTCTTTTTTCTGCAAGAACTAAACCATAAAACAGAACCCTCCTTGTTATTTTACCTGCAGGTAGATAAATTAAACCCACAACTGTTAATTCTTAGGGGGAACTCAGCAGCAGCAGCTCCAGAAGGTCTCTCAGACTCAGGAAAATCATCCACCGCAAAACACGACAAGGTGTGGTTTACAAATCCTTCCAAGCTGTCGTTGTGTTCACCTAAGGTGTAATACAGTCTGGGGACGAATTCGGAAACAAAGGCAATCACAAAGCCCTAACAAAAAGGGTAAGAAAAAAACAAGTTACCGTGATTATACATTGTGGCTTTCCTTACAATAAGTTCTCTTTGGTTTTAAATCAAAACGCCGAGTACGACATGTTTTTCACCTTTGACAACAGGTAGAACAAAGAGATAACTCTCTGCTGTATTCTGCTCTTTAAATCGCTGATTCAAATTATTCAATTGTTATTGTTTCCTTCAACTAAAGTGACTCGAACCGCAGCATGCAGCACGTACGATTAATGAAGCAATACTATTGCTCAAGTTCTTTTGAATACAAACTGTTTTCAAGCAAAATGAGCGGTCCTTGTAGAACATGCTAAATCATTGTCTGTCCGCTTGAATTTGCAAGTTACCAAAGCAATGAAATATCTCATCCTATTAGGAAATCCTTCATTTTTAGCTCTTACAGGTCAATAACTACCACCAGGTGACCAAATTTGACTATATTATTGTTATTTGATTTAAGTCAGGACCAACCTTTTTTGCTCGAACATGGGAAAAACTGTCTCATTAATTTTTTCTTTATTCGATAAAATTGGGGGAAAAAATACTGTGTTTGTAACTGAATCTGTCGCCCAAGTAATTTTTCTCTGTTTATTTTCCGTTTTTTTAATGATTTTCTTTCAATTTCAATCCTTAAAGAAATAATATTCAAAAACGCACAACTTTGTTAAATAGATTCTTACATTTACGACCACAGAGATCTTCGTAACGCCTTTCAAGATTGCGTACCAAATTCCTGTGAAAACAAAAGGTTTTTTTTTTCAAGTGTTCTATTCGGTAGTTCCTAAATAGAATTTCAATTAATAAAAAATGTTTAAGACCAACAAAAATAATCGGCCCTCTCTTTGTATATAACGCATACCTATATCCTGCGCACGAGCTGCCATTGGGCGCTGAAAAACCACGATAAACTTGTAAGCATCAAGACGAATTTCCAACAAGTTATTGATGAGGGCAAAGAACGGTCCAAGTGGAAAAGCGGCCACAAATAGTGTCACAAAGCCATACTGGATCACTGGAAAAAACAAAAACAAAAAAAACAAAAAAACAAAACAGAGTTTATAACCAGTAAATCTCAACCATCTCCTTCGCTCAACCGTACAAGCTGCGCAGTTCTTACCCATCTCAAGGTATTCATAAAACAACCCGTGCACGGGATACTGAGTCAAGTCATAGTCCAGTTCCCAACGTGTGTATTCGGTCAAGTCGGGGGTTTCAATATTCTGACGGCGTCTCCACCAGTTCTGAAGCTTTCTGTGGAAAACAATTATAATAATAATAAAAACCTCAGTCAAATACCAAGTGAGTTTTCGCGCGAAAACATATCTTCATACGTGAAGAAAACATGTTACTCTTTACACGTGGAAACAATACCGATACTATGATTATACTATTACAAGGCCGCTTGGAGCTACGAAATTTCTCTTCACGCGTTGAAAAATATTTCTCTCGTTCGTTTCGCTCACTCGTGAAATATTTCCCAACACTCGAATAGAATTAATTATCTTCGCGCGGCCATGTAATATCCTCTATTTTCAGGAATAAAAGAGACCATAGTGGTAATAATAATAATAATAATGATAATGATAATAATAATAATAATAATAATAATGGTGACGATATCAACTACAGCAATAATACTAATAATGAAGATGATGATGAAGATGATGATGATGATGATGATGATGATGATGATGAAAAAATAGGAGTGCTTACCCAAATGATCATCCCACTCATTTGAAATTTGAGTCAAAATATTATTAATCCACAACGTTCACAGAATGAGTGACTTGGCCTGTGAAATACTGTTTTACAGGACTAAACAATTAAAAGTATTATTTCACTGTAAAATGTGTTTGGAGCATGTTCCCACAATAAAAATATACATGGAAAAATTTCTCAGTTCTGATTGGTCAAGATAAATGCAGTTTTCAGGTAATTCAGTGCAGAAGAGAGTTAATTCAGTGCAGAAGAGGGTTAATTCAGTGCAAAGAAAGTAACAAATCAAACATTCTGATTGGTCAATAATCAAAGAAACTCATAGATAGCCAATCAAATGAGAGCCTTCGATGTCGCAACAAAATTTGAAAATTTGAAAATTTGCGAGCGAAACAATGGCCTGCTTTTTAAGAATGGCTGCCTGTTAGGATCGAGAATCGTCCGTCAACGACCATTTTGGTGAATTGCTCATATTTTGCCCAATGATACCCTTTGGTAAACTATTTTCAAAAATCAAGTTTAAAAGTTCCGACGATTATTAAATTTTTAGAAATTGGCGAAAATTTGAAAACGCGGTTTAAGTGCGGTTTTCCGCCTATCAAATTGTCCAAAATTCACTGCAAAAACCAAGCTCCGTTGAAGGCTTAAAATTAATTCAATTGACACCAAACTTCACACGATATAAGAAAAAGCCTTCCCATCCATTTTCACTATGTTAATTTTTCTGTACACATTGATACTGAGAATTTTTAAGTCTTCTTAGCAACACCCTCAAAGAGCGCTTAATATGACAGCAAAAAATAGGTTAAATTTAACGCGATAAAAGTGTACCTGGTACCTCATTTTTCAATTTTTTAACTTGATATTCGTAATATAATGATACTATTTATTTCCTGAGTAAACTTTGATGCTTTGAATCGGACCGCTTCCCTTCGAAAATACGAGCAAAATGATGTGTGTTGTGTAAACAAACGCTAATCTTATCATTCCTTCCCTGGTGGAAAAAGGTTTTAAAATAAACTTTCATTCTGGAAATGTCTGACTTGTATTCCACAAAATATTGAGTTATAGTGAAGTCGTACATTCAGAGTTGTGTGAGAGCTGAGAGGAAATAAAATCACCGTCGAAAATGTTCTTACAGTCATTTCATCGATCACCATTACAAGTATTACGATTACGAAAATTGTGACAATTGATCAGTCTGTTGAATGACTTTTAAACATTTCAGCTGCAAGGGCTTTGTTTTAGTTTGTTTTAGATATATATGTATACATAAATCAAGAATTCCAGCGAATACAGAAGGAGAACAGCATTCTTTACAAGCAGTTCAGTGTATTAACGCGAATTGTTCCTATTTATCATAATTAACCGACATCCGGTCCCAACAAACACTGGCCGCACCACATGAGACCCTAAATGGGCTGTCATCATGAAATATACCAAAGACTGAAAACAAAAACTTTACTCAAGGTCTGATAACTACACTATAACACTATTATACTTCAATCTCAGATGTATTTTCATTGAGCTTCCAACATCTCGCACCATCTTGACCAAGATGCTGTAATTCAAACACAATTTTCTCTCGTGGTAAAGCCTGTCACGTCATCACTGCCCACGAAGCTCTTGCGCAAATGGTTGAAATTTCGTAACAGATCTAAGGAAAGTTATTTCACGGACGAGTCTTGAGCTTTCATACGTGCTCTCATCAGAAGTTATTATTTCTTGTCATTTTATGGCTCTCTGTAGCTATATAACGCTAGTTGGTAAGGTGACCCCTTGCGGGCGATCTCCTGATTATCCTGGTCAGGTGGAATGCATTACACTCGAGGATTGCACGAAAGATGTAACTGGACATCTATCGACTCTTGGACTGAGTGCAGATGAAGGTTCTAGAACTGAAATGAAGCTGCTATTAGCCAGAGCCGGTAAATATTGATTTTGTGTGTTTTCAGGTAACCTTATTGTGCTTATGAATGAGTGCTGCAACAGATTTAATTGGTGTTATATTTTTTACAGGTGTTTTCTCATTTGAGCAAAAACATCTTACCCTGACTATTTGCCCACGCCATAGGGCAGACTTTGGCATACGTTGGAGGACTAGGAAAACCCTTTGTGCAATTCCCAAGGATCTAGCGACACATAAGTCCTCAAGTGCCAAAGGAAGCAACCGTGTGGATAGCCGAAAATCGATGTATATTTTTTGCAACACCAACACCTTAGTTCCAGTTGGGTCGCGTAAGTTGAATTGCTTCTGTTGATAAATGTTCTCATGAAATTGCTTTTTCTCACGTTTATTTGTAATACCTTACACAAAAAAAAGCACTATAAGTTTCAACTTTCTCAAGCTAGCAAATTTTATATTTGTGAGGAAACTTTGCAATTTATATTGCCAACGTTTTTTTCTCGTCTGAGTAGCTGATAATCCATTGATTGATGACAGATTGATTACTTTATACCTAGAAATAGTAATTGATATGAGTTATTTACTTTGCTTTTTTTTTAATAAAAGCAATTTGTAGGCGATGCGACGAGTTTATCTGCAGGCAAGTTGCAGATGAACAGACGCCGGCGGAGGGCGCTGGAGCAAGTACTGTGTCTACCCCTAAAGAGCCTCGAGTGGTGCAGATACCTGAACAACAGACAATGGTAAGCTTCAAATATGAATTGATGATCTCAATCTTGTTTTTTAAAAGGAAAAGAGTCATTTTTAGAAGAGCATAGAAATTGGAAAAAAAATCGAGGAAGAAAAAACACGTGACAAACACAAACACAGCGTGACAAACACAGTTGTTAATCTGGGACAAGGCTCCTTCGTTGACCAGTAAAACTCACTGCTTTTCGGTCACTTTTTTTTTATTTGAGGGGTGGGGAAGGGGAGGGGTGCTATGCCGCACTTTGGTAGGCTAATTCCTGTCCCACATTTGTTTGTTTTCTGGATGTCCCGCAACAGTACCTGGTGCTGCTGAGATTTTTTATTACCCGAAACTGATTCCCTACAAACATATACAAAGAAATCGGTTTTAGAGATTTGATGCTTATAGAGCAAACCTTTTCGTAGGTTCATGAGATGGAAACAGACCGTCCAGGAGAGGAATCAAGTGCTGGCAGTGAGTCATCTTCTGATGGTCTAGAGACGGACTTGATGTTTCTGGAAATATCATCCCAGGGGTTGAAGGATGACGAGACGTTTCTCAGTCCCGATACTGCAAGCCTCGTCTCCTCAACGAGTGAAGAGAGCATCACCTCAAAGCCAAATTCCCGTGAAAAGTTGAACGAGTATCTGGTGTCCAAAAACATTGAACCTGTCTCTCAACCTTGGGTTGAGTGGGAAAAGGCCAGTGACAGCACTAAGCTTCGGTATACTAGACGAACCGCAGAGATTTTTTCTTCTGTGCTCCACGACCTAACACCCAGTTGTGCAGGTTCTCTTTGGCAAGCAGTCGTCTCTTATCCTGCCATGAACGAAGCACTCGGGCTGGACGAACTCTCCGAAACTTCCAAATGCTACCTCCAGGTCTTAGCTGAGGCATATGACAAAGCCCATGGGTGGGACACAAGACGGCAAATTCTTTCGATGATGAGTGGTGTTTCCAATTATAATGATATCTCGAGATTTATACCTAGCTTAAGTAGATATCGTTTTACCATAGCTAATCTGCATCGTCTTCAGCACGGAAGCGGCGCTTCAGTGACCCCCCAGCCTTGCCATCCAGTCATGGAAGTGCCATTTGCTGAGGTCGACCCATCAAGATCAGGCTCGTTTGGACGTCATCGATGCCCTTAATTCTGGAACAGTATTCATTATAAATGACTGGGCCATGAAGTTCTTGCCTCAGAGATACCGCGAGTCACAGACAGACTGGTTTTGTAAGCGGGGTATTTCTTGGCACATATCTGTGGTATACAGACGAATAGAGGGTGTGCTACAGTGGCAAGCCTTTATCCATGTGACTCAGTCCTGTACCCAAGGAAGTTCTGCTGTTACCGCGATTATGCAACATGTTCTAGCCACATTGAAGCAAGAGTATCCTGAAATCAACAAGGCCTACTTCAGGCAAGATAACGCCGGCTGCTACCACTACTCCCGCACGTTAACGAAGTGCCAAGAAATTTCAGCGAACACCGGAGTGAAGATAGTCCGCGTTGATTTCAGCGACCCGCAAGGCGGGAAAGGGGCTGCAGATCGACTAGCTGCGAGCTGTAAAAGCCACATTAGGGCGTTTATTAATGAAGGCCATGATGTCTGCATCGCCAGCGACCTGAAGGAAGCTCTGCTATCCCATGGCGGTTTGGAAGGTGTACGAGTGGTTTCTCTGGATACCATCGAAGAAACGCAAGACGATGTGCAAACCATTACAGGAATCACCAAGTTGAACAACTTTGAGTTTAGTTCAGTGGGCTCTATTTCCTGTTGGCGCGCATATTCCGTCGGCCAAGGGAAAGTGATTAAAATAGAAAAATCCTCTTCTGGTGAGTTAATCGTTCTTGAATGAGCCCAGGCCTTTCTGCTAGTTTATGACAGTCTGTTCTGTAAGGTTTCTATTAATAAGGGAAAGATTTTATCCGCAATGCATCATAA